TTTAATTTGCATAAAATAGTTTTCTGGTGCTTAAAATAGAATAACAACTTGTCTCATCTGTTCTACTTTGAATCCTATTATTTAGAAGTAAAATGTTCAATAGCTAGATATTTATTCTTTTGTTTCCCTCAAGATACTGAAAAGGTATATGCCCTTATTCTTCTTGATACTGACTACAAAGAATCAATGAAGAATAGTAGCAGGAAGTTCTCAGAGAAAATAGGATATATCTTTCCTTTCTTCCACTTAGATGGGGATAAGCACACACCCCATTACAGAGGGCAGAAATTAGTAATAAAATTTCTGAAAAGATTAAGTAGCTACATGATAAGTCACTGCCCAAAATAATAGAACCTCATGTGGGTGTTTTTATTCAGCTCTCTTGATACTTTTAATGTTAAATTGAAATATTTTTCCAAACAAGCAGAATTCTTTTTTTGAAGTTCACCTCATGGTAATCCCAACATAATGCAACTCTAAACCAGATTAGTCACTGTTTTTGTTCTTAATTATTTCATTCATAAATTGCATACATATATTCTTTTTCCCATTCTGTGGCTAAATACCTGGTGCCTAAAATAGAATAACAACTTGTCTCATCTGTTCTACTTTGGATCCTATTATTTAGAAGTAAAATGTTCAATAGCTAGATAATTATTCTTTTGTTTCCCTCAAGATATCGAAAAGGTATATGTCCTTATTCTTCTTGATACAGGGGAGGATTTATTTTGGCCCACAGTTTCAGACTGTTCATTATTTCACGGTAAGAAAGGGAAGTTATAGTGTTAGAAGCATGCAGTTGAGATTCTTCATCACTTTATATATTTGAAGGAAAGGAGATTGAGCTAGGATAGGAGGCAGGGCCTAACAAGAAACCTCAAGGCTAGCCCCAATGACCCTCTTCCTCCACCTTTGCTCCATATCCTAAACAGTCCACAATCTCCCCAGACAAGTACATCAACTAGAGATAAAGGGCTCAAGCCCATGAACCTCTGGTGACATTTCATATCCAAACCATAAAGCGGGTTTTCTTCTGTATTTTGAAAATTGACCCAGAGGACTATGACACTGAGTATTTGGGTGAAATAGTTATTCCACTTGAGAATGACAAAGCCAAGTCCAAAAAAGCAATTCCTTCCTGTGTTCACAACTGCACCTGTAGTTTTGTGGAATGAGGCATCATACTGCCTAAATTACAATATTATTTATAGGACTGCGATATACCTCAGCATCAGAGTCCCTTACTAGCCTCACAAAAATACTTTTTGTCTTCATAAAATTATGCATCAGATGTGAGGGTGAATTGTGCCTGTTACAATCATTAATTAAATAACATTTACTGACAAGAATAAAGTAAAAAAGACAGAACAAAGCAATCAACATTTGAAACTGCTGCTGAGATTTAGCTGCTTATAAGATTAAGTAAGAACACTGAGTGTGGGGGCATTCCTACAGAACAATGTCAACATTCTGAAATGGATCCCTGTAAGAAAACACTGATGCCGTGATTTCTTTCATTCTTTCATGAGGAATATAAAAAAAATAACATTTTGTTTATATATTCAGGCCATACTACTACAACTTCCCTGCACTCCTATTTATTTTATTCATTTGTTATCTTGAGACAGTTCTCATAGTTCAGATTAGTTTAGAACTTGCTATATAGTTCAAGCCTGCTTGATCTCTTCATGTTCCTCTCAGCCTCCCAAGAACCGAAATAATCTATCACACTTCTATTCACCTTAGTGGAGTTTGTTCTGAGTCCAACAAACCAATTTGGAAACAAAACACTCTTAGCTCCCAAAGTGTATACCTTTAAGTAAAATATAAATATATCATGGGAACTAAGGATGAGATTGAATATTCTCAAAGCTTTAACACCACATAGGATTCTGTCTTCCTCTACCCCTGAAGCAGGGCCTCCAATTGTGCTAGAGATCTGGCATTGGCTTTATTCAGGATCTTCAGTTTTGGCTACACATAAGATGTTTATCTCTTCTGAGATTGTCTCCCCTGTGCAGTTCTGCTACATGCCCTCATTTGCAAGAGAATCTGCATAAAACTCCCTTGGCCCTTCTCATCACTGTCCTCAACCCTGTTCCGTACAAGACAATTAGAGAATGAAAAGCAGCAGAAGCCCTAATGGTCTCTGGAAGCCTACTTAAGAATATCTCAGAACAAAGCAGACACTTCACATGGTTTGTGCCGTTAACAAAGTTGTGAAATTTGTGAGAAATGTGGGACCAGAAAACTCTTTCTAATATTTTCCAGATTCATTGTCTCTAATTCTTCATGTCCCTAGTCGAACTTTAACTTAATTATAAAACAAAATCTATAGCTGCAGCTCCAGCCTGAGGGGAGAGTCTGCACTACTAATCAATGTTAATTCCCTGGGCCCAATTTAATTACAAAGCAACATTTGGTACAGCTGCTAAACACTTACCAGGTGACCACAGGATGATACGGGAGCAGGATTTATAAGTCTCCAGTCTCGCTCACACTCTTTCAGCACAGCTACGGATCAGTCATGTACAAATTTTAGCAAACCCTTAGATTTATTCTAAAGATTTGCTTGACTTTGTCTCTCTCTGTAACTGAGCCTAAATTACACCTTTGACAAATTAGTATTGACTTCAGTGTGTACAAGGTCAATGTACTGATGGAAGAGATATCCTAGTAAGGAAAAAAATGTGACAAATGGACAGTATATGCACACCTCTTAGTTGATTTAATTCATTTTTTTCAGTAGACAAATGGAAATGAACTCACACATATTATGAGACACTAACTTCTGTTTTACTTGTAACAAACAGTTTTTTGGAATACAATTAGACTTATCTAACGTATTTCTGCTTTTAAAAAATATTCCATAAAAAGGAAAAGATATGATTTATTAAAGTTTTATTACTAAAACTTTTCAATTTAAAAAAATTAAAGTTAACCACTGTTATTATTTAAATAGGTGGCCCCTCCCGTATATAAACTATTTTCAGTTTGCATGATATTCATTAACATATTTGCATCAAACAAGATAAGTCTGATTATTTTGTGATAGGCTAACATGGAGGCAGAAATTTGATGATTAATTCACTTCTGTTGGAGTTCTTTTGCTCTATTAAAATACTCATTCTGCAATCCTTGGGACTTGAATACCTTCTTCGGATTTTAGAAGGGCAAGAGAAGTTATTTGAACAGAGAAATGAAATTAAGAAGAGGTATTAAAAGAAGAGTTAAAGATCACTGATGGATTTTCAGCAATTGAGACTATAAAGTGGACTCAATTCAAATTAGGGTTTGAAGTGTGAGTTCTCAGTCTTGTTCAAAGAAAGGCAAAGATTATTTCTTTCTTTTGGTTTGCTTTCTTGTGTGCTAGTCTTAGAGTGCTGATCTTTGTCTCCTTTTCTTTCTGCTTTAGAGCAGAGCAGGGGAAAGCTAAGGATAGGATGCATCATACCTTGTTGTACTTCATAAAACAAAGCAGGGCACAGAAATTCATCCTGAGAGATCTGGAGCAATAATCTTCTCCATGGTTCAATTTCAAGCACCCGCTGAGATTCTACCCCGTGTTGCCCTGTGTGGCAACTGCAGACTCTGGACAGGATGACCGATTATGTTTTAGTGAAAAGCTAATTTCAGTGATAGCAAGTCTGTTGCCCACCTCAGAGAGAATTCTTCTTACGACTGAGCAGTGACTGAGACACAAGAGGAAACAATTTTCTTGCTGGAAGAAAATAGGATGGAAGGAATTATGACGACTGCCAGATGCTGCAGTGCCCCTCCGGGGGCCCCAGGATGCTTCCACATATGCTGCAGACATCAGAAACTGTCAGACCATGGGACTCTGGGGTTCAGTGCTCACACTTCACTGAGATGCAAAGTCATGGGATTTGAGAGTGAGCAGGACTCTTAAAGATGATCTGTCCAGAGGGCTTAAACTGTGACTTTGAGTGTCCTATGATTCAAAATGTGGCTCAAGAATTGCTGAGTGTAGGGAGTTCTCTCCCACAGAGGAGCATCATTCTCAGGAAGAATGCAAATGTCATGTCAGACACCACATCAGGAAATAACATTTTCCTACATAATAACTAATCGTAAAGTCCAAGTTCGTATGCTGGTTGACGAAAAGAACTTTGTGGACAGCAACCCTCTACTGGCTAAACTGAACACCTGGAAGGGAGGAGACACTGATTTAGACACACTGTGCTGTGGGAGGCCTTGCAACATGTGGGCTCAGAGACGAAATTAAATCATTAAGACAGATCTAGTGGTAATAAAGGAGTTCTGGAGTCATGCCAATGATCTTTTTGATTATTTACATTGAATAAGCAAGCAAACAGAATATTACTTAGAAAATTTTGCCCTTCCTTGTTATTTTAAAATTTGCTCTTTAAAACATTCTTCCACTGATGTTATTTTTTCTTATCCAACTTCATCTGCTCTACTTTCCAAGTTAAAAGTACTGTGTCTATTGATGGTGGAATGGGTAGAGATGATGCGGTAGATACAAAATGGAATATTTCATCCATAAAGAATAATGAAATTATTTGCATGAAAATGTATTCAATTGAAGATAATTGTATTATGTGAATTATGTCAGTCTTAGAAAGACAAATATCACAAATTTTGGATCATTTGTGGATTCTAAACTTTTATAGAGATCAATAAAATCTTATATGTCTATATGACACAAGACCAGAAAACAGTATGAGTGAAGGAGACTAACAGGAGGAGAAAGGGGAAAAGAAAGGGAGAATGATTACTAATAGGGGGTAAATGCACAGAAATGTACTTATGAAACTTAGAACCATGTATTACAAATATATAACAATCAAAATATTATTAATAAAATGCAAAATAAAATTAATACTTTGGATAGTTAATGAAATATCTATACTGAATAGCAATAAGAAAGAGAGAGATTCATCTGATATTAACATAATGTAAAATCACATCCATGCTGAGAAGCTTTTTGATAAACTATGACAAAGCATATGTCTTACCATCACTGTTGATGCATACGACCTCCTGAACTTGAGTGCCAGACCCACAGTCTTTTCCATTATCTGGTTCACAGTCTCCAAGTCTCATTGCTTTCCAGTCATAGCAGGATGGCTCTTCACAGGGAATGGCTTCCAGTAAGTGAGGGCAGTTTCCAGTTGTCCCCGAACCTCCAGTAGGCTCATTCGTAATGCGCCGCTTCCTTAGCTTGAATCCTGAGTGATTAGGGAAGGAAATAAATTTATTGTTAATGCCAGAGTTATAATATTTCAGAAAGATGATTTAAATCTCAGAGTGAATGCTAGATGAAGGTAGAAGGAAGAGTCATGAGGGAATTGAGTAACAGTGTATATATTACCAAATTGAAATATAATTTGGGACAACCAGTCATTTATTGATAGAAGAAAGAGAGGAAGGAAGGAAAGGAGAGATGGAGAGAAGGGGAGATGGAGGAACCGAGAACGAAGGGAAAGCAGGAAGGAGCAAGAATCAAAATCGTTTATGGTTCAATTATTCCCCTCTGCCCCTTCATACCACTGTATTCTCTCCCACACCTAAAAGCCCCTTCTACTGGCTAAGGTCTTACAGTAATTTTCTAATTTTTATGGTATTTAGACATAAGTGCACATATTTAAAGGTTTCAAGCTAACATCATAAATGAGAGGAATGATACCACATTTGTCTTTCTGGGTCTGGTTTACCTCACTTAGAACGAAGTATTAAATGTTGTGAGGGGATGGAAGAGTAGCACAGAGGAAGAATAGATTAACTAACACAAGACCTTTTGAAAATTCATATGGAAACTTAGCGGAAAATTCTCCTAAAATAGATTCACATATAAAAGAGATTAAATATAGTTATTCAATAATAGAAGGATATTCCAGCTAGTCATCACACACTGCCACAAAATACCCAGCCACAAAAATGGACTTTTCTTTTTTGAGATTGACGGCTACTGGGCGTCATAGATTCTCAAATATTCTAAGCTGTTGCCAGTGCTCTTGATGGTAAGATACTATGTAAGTTGCAGGCCAGGAGAATCTATGCTTGTATCAGTCTGAAAACTTTAGACACACTCAAATAGTCACAGAATGTGCTGTGCACAGACCCGAAAGAGAAATAGTAGCCATCTATCTTACCCAGCTTTGAACCCTGAAAGATACAATAACTGGTCTGGCAAGACATGTCCACTGGTTCAATAGTGACATAACTATTATGGAAGTAACAAACCACTTTCTGATTGGATTTCAGACCCAGTTCACATAAATGAAACCCATATTTGGCAAATTATCGGGGTCAAGAAACTATAGCTATGTATGACATTAGGGGAGAACCTGAAACTATTGTTCTGCTAAATGGACATAGTATTAAAACAACCCCTTATGATTTATCATTACACCCAGAGAAAAACAAGTCTCTAAACTCTCATCAGAGAAGCCTCTGCAGTGGATAGTGATTAACACAGAGATTCACAACTGGCCAAAGGACAAAGAATAAGACTCTAGAATGCTCAGTCCTAAATAAGGTATCTGAGCCATAGCCCCTTCTCCCCAGCTCATCAATCAGTGTGATAGAGGGGCCAGAGGTGGTGAATGATGATTCCAAAGAAACAGTGTTTTCCAAATACAAAATGGCAATTGCTCATATGAACTTACTGCAGGTTTGACAGAATACAAAGGAGGCTACCATTTCCTACCTTTTCTCCCTTGTTGGTCATTACAATTTTCATAAGTACAGGGTCCCCAGGCAGACCAAGGTGAGACCTCACATTCAACTGGACAAGGAATGTGGCACAGCCGCATGGTGCTAGGAAGAGGGCCACTGCATAATTTCGAGTCCACTGGTTTTGAAGCTGTTGGAAGAAAAATACGGACATCTCTTAATACTTAGACAAAGATAGATGTTATGGTCGATACTATAATTTTTATGTGCATGCAGAGGAGAGAATTTCAAGATGTGTCACTAAGATATTATCGCAAGATTTCTCTATTTGCTGAGAATAAACAGAGGGCTCAGGGGGAATGAAGAGGCTAAGTGAAAGAAAGGGAAGCACATCATCAAATAAAACTGGACTTGGAATCTGATGGATTGTGTCGTTTATAACTGATGGGCATTGGAATTAGTAAAACAAATGCAACTCTTCTAACTATCAAAGTAATTCTACAGATGAATCCTAAACTTTAACATCCAAAGTCTAAACAGAGTGGTTTTTTAGAGGACTGATCATGGTAGGAAAGGGCACATAACTTTACTAAACATGAAAAAAATCCAATTATTGCCTTCTGGTAGAACAAAATCCTTTCTACTTTGGCCTACTGTTTGCAGAGATGTCACTTGGATGTAGGGGAAAAGAAGATCCAATGGTATTACCCTTGATTTTCATGGTGAAGTTGATCCAATGATTCTCCAGAAAAAATGTCCACCCTATAATCTTAATATCTGCAAATCTAAGAGCTGCTAAGGAGTCTGATTTACAGTTATTTACGCTTAGTCATAAGTTGGTCAAAAATAAGTAAATGTTGTTTGCCTGTTCATCATTTTTCTTCTCTAGATTTGATAACTGCTGTTACCTTTCTTTGTACCTACATATATTAGACAGCAAATATAAAGATCTATCCATAGATTATAATAGATACATTTGATTGTACTGACTGGTGAAGATGAATGAGCCAGGAAGATATATAAAGTTCCATGGACAGGATAGAAAAATTATATCTGTGTTTATTATCTGTCACCTGTTGTTTGCCATTAATAGCTATAATTACTATCACTTCAAAAATGTTTTCACTATGTCTTCCTTTAGAAAAGAGAGTTTAACTCTGATAATTTGGATAGCCCAATCTTATAGAATAAAGGACTTAAATGAGTGGAGCTGGATAGTACTCGTTATTGTGAGGGAATATTGTCAGTTTCCAACTATCCAAGACTGCATCTAGATACTCATAGGGAGCTAAAATTTAAGTTACTTATCTAACTTTTAAATAAAAGTACTTTAAAGGTTCATGTGTTGTTGAAACTGTAAGACAGGTTCAAGTACTTGAATTTTCTGACATTCCTGTACATGTAACTGCAGCTAACACAAAGGCTTCTAGCGGATATGATGGTGTCTCCTCTCATGGTTACACTTGATATTTAGAAAAGTATTACAATCTTTATTTATTTTTTTTCAGTTCATGATTTTATTTATTTATTTATTAAAGATTTCTGTCTCTTCCCCATCACCGCCTCCCATTTCCCTCTCCCTAATCAAGTCCCCCTCCCTAGTCAGCCCAAAGAGCAATCAGGGTTCCCTGCCCTGTGGGAAGTCCAATGGCAATGGGTTTTTAATCCTACTGCACGTACTGGCTTTGTGGGAGCCTAGGCAGTTTGGATGCTCACCTTACTAGACCTGGATGGAGGTGGGTGGTCCTTGGACTTCCTACAGTCTTTATTTTTGCTTTTTATTCCAACAGATCTTTTCCTCCCATCCCTTACACACACCACAGTGGAAAAAAAATGACAGGGCACAAAGGCTTTGGTTAGTCTGGAGCACAGTAATGATTCTCATTCAAGTCTGGGGGTGTTGCAAGTGCATCTTATACAAGACAAAGCCGAGGACGATGGATTTTATTGCTTTCTAACAGGGCAAGTACTCCACATATCATTGACAGAAGATATGGAAATAAATGTTTCATTTCTCTGAATATAAAAATTCTAAGACACAGTGATACATATTTTCCAATATTCAATCTAATTGAAAATTATAACAGAAAGAAAAACATGTAGTATGAAGTTTAATTCACTGAAAATTAAAACAAATGAAAGCTTTAATTTGTAAAATCTTTGACACTGAAAACCTTGCTTTACTGAGATCTGAATAGCTTCTAATGTTTTGAAATTATAATATAATTGCATCATTTCCCCTTTCCTATTCTCCCATCTAATCTCTTCTACAAGCCTCTCCTTTCTCTTTTTCAAATTCATGGCCTGTTTTCCATTATATAATACACATATATTTTCAAATACATAAATGCAGTCCGATCCATCTATATAATGTTACATATGTATGCTTTCAGGGCTGATCATTTTGTGTTAGCTAACCAATTGGTGTCATCTTCCTTGGGGAAGACTGTTATTTCAGATTTCAGCATTTCTTAATGTCCTGTAGTTCTTTGTTTAGAATTGAGGCCTCCTGAGTTTTCTCCATCCATGTTTGAATGCCTCTTGGTGTCATTCATGTTTAGCTCATGTTTAGGCAACCATGCTGGTAAGGTTTTATGTGTATAGCTTCTGACATTCCTAGGAGACACACTCTTACGAACTCCGTTTCTCGGGCTCTTAACACTCTTCCCAGCCCACTGTACTAGGTCAAAACCCGGTGTGTCCACCTTTATTTATTTTTGTCAGAAGCTTAATTTTAGTTTTGATACATTCCAAATGGATTAAAAACTTGCCCACAAAACTTTTGGGCATTTAGAAGAGGAAGTGATGAATAAAGGTTAAAGAGAGTACTGTTACTGTGAAATACTCTTTGAGTCTTGCTCAACTGCTAAGTCAACTAAGTCAATGCTGTGATAATATATCTTCTAATTGACTTCTATTTAATAGATATAATTTTACACATAAAAACCTAGTCATTAATCAGAGATAGAAAGAAAAAACATGTTTGTAATATTTATAGTCCTTTTGTTGTCTGTTTTCTTAAAAAAAATTTATGTATTGATTAATGTAAATCTCCAACACAACTTGAGTTTCTAAAAATTATGTTAATTTTATAATTGCTATTGTCCCATGATTCATATAGATATATATTAGATAATTTGATATTGTGTAATTGGCTTCATATTCTCAAACACTGAGATAGGAATTTTAGATGTACCAGTTTTCACTCTTTTGACTTAGGTTTACCTGTAGCATGATGAAGATAAAATTTATCTAATACAGTTGTAAGTTTTATTGCTGACATCTTAAGATATTTTGCTTTATTATAATATTTAAACATATTGAAGTGTACACTTTATGCTTAATGAGGTTACAGTGTCTGAATTTCTTGGGGACATCAAAACAAACAAACAAAACCCAACACACAGTGAAACATTTGTAGGTCCGAAATATTTTTGGGCTTTGTATGTTCAGAGCAATTTAAATGGAAACATGTTATTAGAAGAAACAAACATTAAACTTCTATTTCCACTAAATGGTCAACGTATATTTTTTAAATTTAACATTTTATTTTTAGATAATTTTGTCCTATACCTGTTACACCCATGGTAAGATATGACAAAACTAATATGCAATTTGAATTGTCCAAATACCGACATTGAATATTGAGGTAAATGTTTGAAGAGTATGCCTATGAAACACATGTAACTTGAGCTCTGTATTCAGTGCTCTGCCTCATCTGGCAACCTCTTGTTGCATGCTCTCATTTTAAATTCTGGTTAATACCCCACAGCCCACCCATAACCTACAAACCATAACTGTGCCACATCCAACCTATCTACCCCATATCTTGTGCCAGGGTGTAGATATGTGACTCTACCTAAGTCACCCCCCACCTCCACTCACTTCCCCCAATCCCCAAGATACATTTAGGGTCTCATATCCAGGGCCTAGTCTGGACAGCTTTGCTTGCATTTAATCTCCAGGCTTTAGCTAGGACCATAAAGAAACCCTGTATACTCCATGCAGTCTTTCCACCAAATCAGGTCCTGCACATCTTAAGATAGGAACTAAATAGGTACGCTTGCCTGATCTCTCCCTCCATGGAACTCCTTGATATTCATATCTACTGCCAAACTTCAGGTTTGGACAATGTGTGCCAGCTCAGCCTTTTGAAGCTGCCTGACTTCTCTCTACCTAAGCCATATCTTACCTTCAGGTCCAAATCTGACCCACACAACTCTGCTCTGCTCCAGTCCATCAGACCCAGAACAAATAATAGGTCCACATGCACAGATTTCATCACAAAACTGCAGAGTATAAAAGATCATGGAAATATTTCCTCCCACAAATCCATTAGTCCTAAAGAAATGTCTGCCAGAGATAGTTATCTATATGAACCCCAGGACACAAAAATTAAAAGAACAATAAAAATATCAAAGAATTCAAGTTTAAAGATGATACAAACAGCCCAGTGAACTAAATGCTCAAGTGATGTCCCTTATCCCCCACAACACAAGCATAAGGTTGATGGAAATGATGACAATAATCCAGGATTTGAAAACAGAATTCAATAAATATGTAGAAACCTTGAACTTAACTCAAGCTGAAATGAATGTGGAATTGAAAAACTCAATAACTGAACTACAAAACTCAAGGGAAAGTCTCAAAAGCCAAATGAATCAGAGAGAAGATAAAGACTCTAAGATAAAGTACAGGAACTAGACCAAACAAACAAAGGCTATGAAGAAAATGGAAACACAGATATCAGCCTTTAGTTCAGTTCGATAGTTGTTGGCTACTACTGACATGTTGGTGCTACCTACTGTACCTTTACTCAAGGCTTACTAAACAGAAAAGAAATAATATCTGGTGCTAGAAACCTAACCAGCTTTCTAGAGCTACAGAGGTCATGGACCTTAGAAAACAATCTACTACTAGCAATTTTCTAGACTAGAAAAAATCCATACTGCAGCTCAAATTATATCTGCATACTCAAAGGTAAGTGTAGCTATTGTCTCTCATCAAAGAAGCCTTTCTTACAGAAAATGAATACTATCATAGATTGTGTGGAGCCCAGTCCTGACAGATATCATGATTGCTGCCTTTTTGTCTGAGAGGACACCAGAGAAGACACAACAGAAAGATTTTAAGAACCAAAATTCCATTAAACAGTCTTTTCTAGAAATAGTTATATTAATAAGGCCAGAG